CACTTGGTTGACTCCAGGGACGCACTCAGCCGCTCGCCCGAAGATCAGACGGCCCACTCCAGACGTGATGCCGATACAGGTGAGCAGAACCTCTTTATTAGCGTCCGCACCGAAGCGCTCCTCCACATGCTTCATCTGAGACACACAATGATCAGTGATGACAGCCTCAAAACACCTGCATTAAAACATCACTGAATTAAACATCATTCATTCAGCCATTAGGTTTCCTACAGACTTTTTTCCTCAGATGTCTGTATGTGAAAGCGCAGACGGACCACGAGACATCACTGATCTCAAAGAGAGACTGATGCTTAGTGTTTTCTGCAAAAATCTACACAAAAGTGTCATCATTTTGCACAGGTTTAACCAGTTTCTCGTTCAGAAAACAAACACACAATACAATTACCTCAAGAATCACAATATGAACTCAAATAACACTAATTTATCCATGTGTGAACATTAAGTAGCAAAACTGATGACACACAGGTCAGAATCTCAGGATGATATGAACAAGAGCACAGCTGATTATGTGAGAATGAATCCTACTAGTGCGAGACAAAGAGGAAGAGGAGGGGGAAATAAAACTGAAGGGGACGGGGTCAAAGGACATTTATTCCTGATGAAATACACAGCGCTGTAGTTGATCATGTTCTTGTGCTTGAGGACAGCTGCCAACAGGCTTTCAATACTACTGACAGATCAAATATAATGACAGAACAGTAGCAGTACTTCAGATGAGAGAACTTTTACTTTTTATTCATACTGTATGTATAGTAAATACTGACGCACAAGTTGTACACCCTCAAACTCATACTGTAACTGCTGAACTGATTTGTAGCCAAGTACTTCTTACATGTACTGTATTTTTGCAGAACTGAGAGATGACTCTATATTCTGTTGTGTGTTCATATGCTTATGAATTGATCTCATTAGTGTGTAAGACTATGTTGTTGTGTGTGTGTTTCTGAGGGCTTGTGTGTCATGTCTGAGGGCGAAGTTTGTTTTTTTCAGCAAGATTGAATAGTTTTGAGTGGAGAGCCTGAAAATAGGAAGTATGGGGAACTGGGTGAGAAGTTATGGATTTGTGTTTAGAGTTTCGAGGAAAGGAGTCACAATTTCAAGAAATGTGTTTAAGCAATCGAGAAAAACTGTAAATTTATTTATATTATATATATTTATATATATATATATTTGTGTGTGTATATTAATATATTTATTTTCATAAAGAATAACCACTGTTCTCAGTACTGTCATTACTATCATGTAAATCATTTTGTGGTTACATTTTCCAGAAAGAGTTTTGCTTGTGTCTGACGTGACAGGAGCACATGGTCTTTACCGATGCAGACTGTTTTAGATGTTTAGATATGAGACGATATTTTGAAGATTGTGAGTAACCAAATAGTTGTTGGTCCCCCATTGACTTCCATATTATGGAAATAAAATACTAGGGAAGTCAATGGGGAGCAACAACTGTTCTTAAAAATATCTTCTTTTGTGTTCAACAGCCGAAAGAAACTCTGTAAGTATTTGTGGTAATATGAAACGTTCATAGCCCTGGTCTTTTTACCACGTGATCATGTTTATCAGACGCAGCAGAAGAAACTGTGTTTCTTCAAACACTAAATACATGTTGCAGTATGCTGCTGAGCTGGAGAGCATAACAAGCTCCATATGGAGTTTAGCCCAACACAAAACACGTCATGTCACGTCAGACACAAGCTGTGTTTCTTTGAAACCGGTGTTCCTGTGGCTCAGTGGTAGAGCATTGCGTTAGCAGCGCAAAAGGTCGTGGGTTCAATTCCCAGGGAACACACATACTGGTAAAAGATGTATAACCTGAATGCCCTGTAAGTTGCTTTGGATAAAAGTGTCTGCTAAATGCATAAATTATTAACATTTATTAATTATTAATTAATTATTAAGAAACTCTCAGGTCTTCAGACCTGCCTGAAGAATCATACAGATATTGTTTGTAAAAAACACCATTGGTGCATTTTGAAAGAAGACTCCCGTGTTTCTCAAGCAATCGCTGCTGGTGTGTGTGTGTGTGTGTGTGTGTGTGTGTGTGTGTAAGAGCGACACACCACCCAGCCATTTGTCATGAATGCTCATTATTCATACTTACTGCCTGCCAGCGTGCACACACACTCCTTCAGAGAGAAACACGTGAGCAGATCAGATCCGGAGGTGTGCAATTAGTACAGAAGAGGACATGAACCATAAAAAACACAAGAGCAGATGTAGACGGGATCCTGGGCGTTCGGGTTCCTCCTCCCAAAACACACCAATCTGAGGCCCACATCACACACACAGAGTTTCACTGTGTAAAAAATGAAGAAGAACATAATGCCTGGCAGTCTGAACATCATCAGCAATGCTCAACCTGATTGAGTTCATTCTTGACCTGTGCTGGACACATGAGGAGCTTACAGACAATACACTATCAACTCCTGCAACAAAATAACCCATGCATGAGTCTTTAAGTGAGTGAGTGAAGTGACGTGACATGTGGCCAAGCATGGTGACCCATACTCAGAATTAGTGCTCTGCATTTAACCCATCCAAAGTGCACACACACAGCAGTGAACACACACACAGCAGTGAACACACACCCGGAGCAGTGGGCAGCCATTTTTTGCTGCGGCGCCCGGGGAGCAGTTGGGGGTTCGGTGCCTTGCTCAAGGGCACCTCAGTCGTGGTATTGAAGGTGGAGAGAGCGCTGTACATTCACTCCCCCCACCTACAATCCCTGCCGGTACGAGACTCGAACCCGCAACCTTTGGGTTACGAGTCCGACTCTCTAACCATTAGATGTATAACCTGAATGCACTGTAAGTTGCTTTGGATAAAAGTGTCTGCTAAATGCATAAATTATTAACATTTATTAATTATTAATTAATTATTAAGAAACTCTCAGGTCTTCAGACCTGCCTGAAGAATCATACAGATATTGTTTGTAAAAAACACCATTGGTGCATTTTGAAAGAAGACTCCCGTGTTTCTCAAGCAATCGCTGCTGGTGTGTGTGTGTGTGTGTGTGTGTGTGTGTGTGTGTAAGAGCGACACACCACCAAGCCATTTGTCATGAATGCTCATTATTCATACTTACTGCCTGCCAGCGTGCACACACACTCCTTCAGAGAGAAACACGTGAGCAGATCAGATCCGGAGGTGTGCAATTAGTACAGAAGAGGACATGAACCATAAAAAACACAAGAGCAGATGTAGACGGGATCCTGGGCGTTCGGGTTCCTCCTCCCAAAACACACCAATCTGAGGCCCACATCACACACACAGAGTTTCACTGTGTAAAAAATGAAGAAGAACATAATGCCTGGCAGTCTGAACATCATCAGCAATGCTCAACCTGATTGAGTTCATTCTTGACCTGTGCTGGACACATGAGGAGCTTACAGACAATACACTATCAACTCCTGCAACAAAATAACCCATGCATGAGTCTTTAAGTGAGTGAGTGAAGTGACGTGACATGTGGCCAAGCATGGTGACCCATACTCAGAATTAGTGCTCTGCATTTAACCCATCCAAAGTGCACACACACAGCAGTGAACACACACACAGCAGTGAACACACACCCGGAGCAGTGGGCAGCCATTTTTTGCTGCGGCGCCCGGGGAGCAGTTGGGGGTTCGGTGCCTTGCTCAAAGGGCACCTCAGTCGTGGTATTGAAGGTGGGAGAGAGCGCTGTACATTCACTCCCCGCACCTACAATCCCTGCCAGTACTCCTTAAACGTAGATTTTATCACAGAAAAGTACATGTTTAAGGCATTTAAACACATGAAAGGGTCTGAAACTCTCTCTCGCTGACTCGGTCGTCATTATTTTACTGTAGGAATTGAACGTTTTGAATGCATTGTGCTGGTCATGTCATCCTGCTGGCTAACACAGATGACGGTTTAAGAGAGAGCATGTGAACCCATAGGAATTGGTTGGTTTTTCACATTAATTGGTCATAAAATGTCATCTGATTTTCATCAAAGTCACAAGTATAGACAAACACAATGTGCTTAAGCTAATGACACACACAATTATAATCTTTCATGTCTTTATTGAACACATCCAATCAAACATTCACAGTGCTGTGGAAAAAGTAAATGAACTTTACCTTGTTGTTGTTACCAGGATGATCCACAACGGATTTTCTTTTGTGTTGAGTTTCATGAGTCGTTTATGAGCCACTTGTTGTCCATGAAATATTATAATTGTTTGCGTGTAACTAGCTTAACACACATTTAGTCTATACTTATGACTTTAATGAACACTTTATAACCAATTAATGCAGAAATCCAACCCATTCCAATGGCTTCACCACCACATTAATTATCAATGTCAAATGAGTGTAAATGTAATTTTGCGCTCATGTCCTGCAGGCTGTATGTTTTCCCTGACAGCACATGCAAGCGGGCTTGAGAAATACTCAAACTGAAAAACAGCAATGGCTGTGGTATTTGTCTTGAGCATTTAAAATACACAGATTGTGCTGGAGTTAGTGTGTAAATCATATTGTTTACATTTTAATACATTTCATTCAGTTTTCACATGCAATTTGGGATGCTTTCATTCTGAATAGACTGACTGCGTTTACAAGAGTCCATTAAATTGACTCTATATCTTTACTTTGGGCAATAGTGTGTGTTGATTATATTAGCCATGAGCTGAAAAAGTGGAGGCGTGATAGAGTTTTGAGCAAGTTTTGCAGCTGCTTATACTTATGAACATCCTTGTGGCTGTGGGTTTTTTTAAGCAATTTGTTATGGATCAAAAAAAGCTTCAATGGCTTAGTAAAGCTCAGTTATGAGAGTCTGTCTGTCACAGACGAGATGTGAAACGAGTCCAAAACATTTCACAATGTTTTTGATAAACTGTGCTGATGATGATGGTTCATAGGTGACTGCAGGTGAACCACTGGCCTTTATCTGCTGGATCAAGATCATAAATGAATAAAGAACGGACTCTGACTGCTAAAAGTGCTCATCTGCATTTCTTGATGCTTCAGCGCATGACTGCTGACCTCAGCAGCTTCAGAAACACAACATCATGATGCTGTCAGCATCTGTCTGTGTGCGAACAGATCACGAGACCAGAGGTTACCTCCAGAGAACAGTCAGCTACACGTACGCTCTCTCACTATTCACCAACAAAGAATACATAACGCGTCCCAACAAAATTCATCTACATAGACTATATAACATGTCCCAACCAAATGGCTTAGAAAGTGGAAGTGATTAAATGTGGTGAGCTGCAAGACGAGTGAAACTACTGCAAAGGATTATTGACAGAGGGGCTCGTCTCTGTGTGTCTGCCTACGAATGTCAATGCCAAATTTTCTGAAAATGCTTCCAAGCACGAGTAGGTAAATGATAAATAACAAAGGGCCCAGAACCGAACCCTGTGGGACACCAGTCATGATTAGATGGCTTTGTTTGTAAAACTTAGCCAGTTTTGATCTGAGTATGACCTGAGAGATTTGAGGAATGAAGGACCAACAATTCCTATAGATTGAAATCTATCTAATAAGAATTTATGTGAAATAGTATTGAACGTTGCAGTGAAATCAAGAATAATTCATATAGATACAAGTCCTGAGTCAGCTGCTACCAATAAGTCAAGGGCAGTCTCAGTACTATGATGAAAACAAAAGTCAGACTCAGGGCTGTCAAAAAAAATTTGAATTTCGAATATTCGTCGAATTAAAAAAAAAAAAATCACATTCGAATGCAAAAACGTTGCATTCGAATTTTAGGTCTACGTCAGCCGTCAGGCAGCCTTATCAGTGGCGCACGAAATGCTACGACAATGTAAGTGTCATTGCATTTTAATGCTTTTGTTAGCCTATCCAGTTGAAGCCACTAGATGCGGCGCTGCTACGTTGTTCATTCAATATATACATAATATTCTGCGTGATGCGTCCTCTTGTGGCCTCAGGAGAGAACCCAAAAGCTTTTTTTCCCCCCTAACTGAAATTATGCCTTTTAAATTTGAATATAATTCGAATTTTGATCATATTTAAGTGGAAAATTCGAATTTAGTTTTTCAGTCATTTTGACAGACATAAAATACATGAAGAAAACACTTCTGGGTGTTAAACCTGCTGTTGATCTGAAGTCAGTGGAGATCGCTGTGAGGACTTCACAACAACATCCAAACCCTGTGAGGCCATGTGCCCTCTAACCCCGAGGAACATGCTTTTGTTTTGACTTGAACAGTTCAAGTGAGCTCTTCAGCCTCTGGCAGATGACAATGACATGCTGAGATGTGTGTTTGTCCACTGCTAACCTCCTCGACCGAGAAAGAGCGGCAGGAAAACATCCAGAGGATTCCGGACGAGAGAGCCGCTCTCCACAGATAAACAACCTCTTTCCCTTTCAGTGCTGCCCATCATCCACCCTCTGCGGGGCAACTTAACCTGCGCAAAACATGTCTGGAGATACTACAATAACAGAGCCGATGTTTGTGTAGAGCACAGTCTGCAGCTACGCCCCGCGCTCCTCAGATCAAATTGACCTTTTATTTCGGTAAACCTCACAGCATCAACATCCCTCCACGCGGGAGTCCAGCGTACAGATGAAGGAACCGCACTGATACTCTGCTGACGTGGCTCTCGTGGGCCATCTTAGCAATGCTTGGATCATTCCCAATCAACCTCAACCTTCATTAGACAAAACGCATGTAGATGTTTGTCTGTTCTTCACACAAATCATCATTTACCTTGAAAATACATTCATGTGAACTGCTGCTATGATGCTCTCTGAAGACGCTTGCATGCTCCAGTCCCTGTCAGTGCAATCTTGAGTATTTTACTCACAATATCTCCTTTTGTGCTCTGCAGAAGAAAATAAAGGCTAAAATCTGAACATCTCAAAAATAGCAAACATGCCTGATCTTTGACGACTGGACAGAATCACTTTCTGTGAAATATGTCAAATAAAACAAACTGACTTTGACTTTTGCTAACTATCATCAGCTCTTCCAGACTGTAAATCAGAGCAAAAATCTATATAAAAGTTGTGTAGTGTAATCTAACCTTAAAGATATAGTTTCACAGGAGGAAGTGCTGTTATAGATTGACTCATATTTTAGCTGGAAGCTACAGTTTGAAGTTAAAAACACCTTAATGATGGATTTGTTTCAGCTTTTGTCTTCTGAAGACATTAACTATGGACGGGAGTGGTGTGGATTACTTGTGGATTATTGTGATGTTTTTATCAGCTGTCTGGACTCTCATTCTGACGGCACCCATTCACTGCAGAGCATCCATTGCTGAGAGAGTGATGCAATGACACATTTCTCCAAATCTGATGAAGAAACAAACTCATCTACATCATGGATGGCCTGAGGGTGAGCACATTATCAGCTAATTTACATTATTAATTATTCCTTGAAGGCATACAGGTTTGGAACAGCATGAGAGATGGTACGAGTGCTCACATTTGGGTGAACTATCTGTAATATTTCTTTGAGGACGTTCCTGAGACGTAGTGAAGTCTAAGGCAGAACAGAGAAACTCAGCACACTCACCAGATGAACGTAAGGCACGAAGTATCCATACAGGGCCGCAGGGATCCCAAAGGCCCATATGCGGTATCCCAGAGACCTCCAGATGTGCACGTTAAACACCCTCCTGAGCGAAGGACAGCGGCTGCCCGACTTGCTGCTGCTGACGGGTTTGGGCAGCAGGGGTTTGTAGGTAAATCCCGCCAGCATGAGCATGAACATGAAGACGCTCAGCACACGCAGCGTGTAGGCGAATCCCACGCGCTTCAGCAGGCCGGACAGCATGTACGGGAGCGTGATGGTGAACACGCTACTGCCCGCCGTCACGATGCCATTCACCAGGCCCAGCCTCCGCTTGAAATAGTGACCTAGGATCACCAGACTCGGCTGATATGCAAAGCTGCAGCCACAGGCGAAGACTATGCCGTAGGTGAAGTACAACGGCCCGAGAGACCTGCAGAGAATGACGATCAGACCGCATTAGCGAAGGCACATTTTAAATCAATGCTACTATTACTGTAATGCTACTAGTAATGCTACTATTAATGTAATTCAAAGCACAATTGTGAAATTTCCCCAGTGAATGTTTGTGCTCTCAGAATTCTTCACCATCTCTCAGCTTAATGTTCACTGTAAGTTAGTAATTAATAGGTTGATTCTCTAAAGGAGTGAACCATTGCAACTCTGTGACACTTTCAAAACATTCATCTGTTTCTCTGACCAATGCCAGATGGAAAAAGAGATTTTTTTCAGTTCAGTTCTGCTCATGCTAGTGGCGTAAAAATGAAATGATTGTTTTGTGTTCAGCTAAACTCCATATGGAGCTTGTTATGCTCTCCAGCTCAGCAGCATACTGCAACATGTATTTAGTGCAGAGTATTTAAGTAATAAATATGTTGCTGATTGTCTCATACAGGCATATGCACTGTTAGGGATAATATGTTACAAACGAAGTGCGTTAAGTAATCAGCTTACTTTTTAATATCTTTACTGACTTTAATTGTCGAAAGCCTCAGAAACATATGTCTTCCCTGTTCGCCTTGACACAGACTAATATAACATAAGATCATGTGTGTGGAGAAGAGAAGAGAAGAGAAGAGAAGAGAAGAGAAGAGGAGAGGAGAGGAGAAGAGAAGAGAAGAGGACCAAGTACAGAGCCTTGTGGGACCCCAGTGTCAGACCAAAAGAGTACAATGTTGTATGTTTCAGTTTAATTGATTTAATTGAACTCTGGGTCTCAAAGGACTGAGTATGATGAGTAGACATCAGCGAGCTGATCCGCACAGTCCTTCAAATCATGCATCAGAATAAAAACATTTTATTGTCAGGTGTTCAGGATGATCTCTATTGATCATCCAGTGGATGATCAAATACACCATCCACTGCTTACAGACAAATCCATTGCTCCCTTTTCACAGTAAACATAAAATCACACAAGAAGGATAGTAGGGTATAAAAATGGATGGGTTAGTGCAACTGGAAAGCAATCACTCTATTATAGTCCATTGGCTAAGCACTAGTAAGCACACTCAGCAATGAAGGATGGTCACTTACCATCTACTTCCAATTACATGTAATAAAAGCTTAAATTTAACTGCTAAGCAATAAATTTAAAAAACTCTTTATTTAAAAACTGAGGTGAATATAATGCACTTACGTGACAAAGGAACTGGCCAGAAGTCCCACAAATGCCACCGCTGCCCCTGCAACTGCTGTAATCCGGCAGCCGAACAGATCGGTGAACACACTGACGATCGGCGAGCAGAAGAAGATCATGCCCATCGAGAGAGAGCCGACCCATGCTGCATACACACACAGAGAGAGTTCATTTATATGAAGCCAGCAGTCTGAGTAAATGAAATTTCTTTTAGAAATATTTAAATGTGTTTACATGTGTGTGACAAACAGCTCATTATAAATTCCTGTTTTACAGATTTACATTAAAAAACCCAAACAACACAACACAGGACAGATTGAGTCAAATGACAAGAGTGCATCAGTGTCCATCAATCCAAATAAAACAAGAAAATAATCAAATGGGATGAAAGATTTTTCATTTGTAAAGCAATTCATTCAACAGATCATACAAAATGAGCGTTATTATTTCCAACATGAAATAGCTATATAGTGATGTATAACCCTACAGTGATTTACTGTAAAATGATTCATACTGTGCTACTGTATTCCAGCACAGTCCTCACAGGATACTGTGTCTGTTTATTCTTATCACAGACGCACAGAGAGAAAGATACTACACACAGATACACACAGACAGAAACATTAATCTAACACACACACTTCCATTATATTTCTGGGGCATGACATGCACCGGTTTTACTTTAGGACAGAGATTTTACATTAAACATCAAGGGGAGAGAAAGCTGTTGCACAAAAGTTACTTAAATGTCCTTAATTTAGCTTTGAAATGTTTTAGCATGCATTGGATGACAAGCATCACTCAAACACTACTGTGTTTTACTCGTGAGACACTAATATTCATTACTGTCCTTCATGCTGCAGTTTCACATGGGAAGTCAAAGCGATCATGTGATGATCTGGGTTATGGAGCGAGTCTCTTTCCTACAGAAAAACAAGTACAGACACACACACACACACACGTCCATCTAACTTCCCTAAAGAACACCACATATGATACTCATGATGTCCTATTTATTCTACTTTATTTCACCAAAACTGTCCTGAATCTGAGTCTGTGTATGAAAAAGCTTTTTTATGAAATAAATAAATTCTATTAATTTTATAAAAAGACAAGGCCCAGCAATGTGTGGCATCACTGTGAGATAAAGTGTGGTGCAGCTTCATCATGGCCTGTATTTGAATTCATATATTAATAATCAGAAAGTCATCATGAAGACTAGAAAGAAAGAAAGAAAGAAAGAAAGAAAGAAAAAGAGGAGGACCTGAGTGAAACCGTGGCATGTGTTCCAGTCTGTAATGATAAAGACTGATAAACCTAGATAAACCTCAGGCTGCAGACTTCCACGCTCTGCTTGCATCTCCTGAACAGTTATCATCTCTTGATGCTAACAGTGCTACTGATACTTTCTGCTCCACTCTTACATTTTGTTTAGACACGGTCTGCCCCTTGTCCTCCAGGCCAGCCCATACCACCCCTTGGATGTCTGATGTTCTCCGCGAACATCGTTCTAAGCTCAGAGCTGCAGAAAGGGTGTGGCGCAAATCACAAAATCCTACTGACCTTAATGTGTATCAGTCACTCCTCTCTTCCTTCTCTGCTAATGTCTCCACTGCTAAAACAACATACTATCATAACAAAATGAACAATTCGCCTAACTCTAGCAAACTCTTTAAAACATTTTCCTCCCTCCTTTATCCTCCTCCTCCCCCTCCTTCATCAACTCTAACAGCTGACGACTTTGCCACGTTCTTCATTAATAAAATGAAAACCATCAGTGCACAATTTTCCACACCACAATCTGTCAAGCACATCTTACCAGCAAACATACACTCATTCACATCCTTCTCTTCACTCTCTGAGGCAGAAGTCTCCAAACTCATCCTTTCTAATCATC